AGCAGGATGTATACCTTCACAATAAGAGTGTTTATCTGGGAGGGGTGCTGTTGGATAGATCACATGTTGTGATTCATTGACAGTCAAACCTTCTGCTGTTCAACATAATGATGACTGGTAGATAATTAGTTATTAGTGATACTGCATTTTAATTTTAGAAAGCGCAAATCCGCTTATGAATTATAAAAATTAGTAAGACTGCTAAACTTAAACGAAATATTTAGGCCCACATTTAGTGGATTTGCGCTTTAGTGTGCTGGTGCCCACCACTGCTTATTGTCATTAGTGATTATCTCAATTCCGGCTAAAAGAATTGACAAAATCCTACACACTGTGCCTTTAAAACATCATAAACTCTGCTGCTGAATGTATTATAGCTGCTTCCTTTGATTTAAACAGCCCCTTCAATGAGCTGCTTCGTTTCTCAGTTTCAGTCATCAGCGAATGATGCGATTAAAGCAGAATTTGTCATACTTTAAGCTTTCAATGTTCACATTTATCTGCTTAGTCTTTTTATTTCTCCACTCCTGACACTGAAACTATTATTAACATGGGGAATTATAAGCACTTTCATAATTTAAAAGTAAAAAATGTTTAAAAAATCATGTTATATGCTTTTAGACTGGTGAAACAAACCTTTTGGTGAGTGTTGAATAACACRTGCTCCGTAGAGAAAATGCATTTAAACATTATTTCCAGTCACACCGTTCAGTTTTCTGCTGAAATCAGCCATGCAGTGTGACATCAGTCATCAGCCCGTCTTCTGACACACTTCATCCCTCAGTTTGTTTGCTTTAACTCACATCAGTATCAGTGTATGTTTCATGACACAGGACCACTTCTGTTCTGAATCTGGACTCAGAGTGCAGTCTTATTACAAAACCTGTTCTCAGTGCATTTCTAATACAAAATATAAAGATAACATGAAAGGTTTAGAATAGATGAGTTCAGTCGATGACATCAGTGTTTTGCAGTCAAACATGACACTGTTTGTCAGATCTGTTCACACTATTTTATATTTCCTTCAGTTTATTTTGTAGATGTTTTCTGGTTGTATTTCCTGTGATCTCTGTTATTGGTCTTGTTTTTACTCCAACTCTGCTTCTGCTCCACCCACTCTCACCTGATCCTCCGCAGGTGTTGTCACGAGTTTCCCCTAAAAGCTTGTGTGCTTTACACTTCCTCAGCCTTTCACATTTGCTTTTTTCCCTTTCTTATCTTGTGTCACTTTGAGTTTTTCTGTTAGTTCTTTTAACCGTGTTAGCCTTTTGTTGTTAATTTTTATCATTAAAGTATTTTTAGTTACCTCTTGAATTCCAGTTTTCTTGTTTCGTACCCTCGATTCAATCCCCAGAGTAAACAGTATTATTATTTTTTTTACTTCTAGTCTTACTTGCATTCTTTCTGTCTTTAATTGATCTCTTTTGCAAACTTTCCAATTATTTTTTYAGTGCATGTTCCAATAAAACCAAGATGTTTTTCTTCTTTGAGGCTGTCTGTAAGACCACAGTGTGTTCTGTGTTTTATATTGAAATATTTATTGAGACAGTCAGCTGCTGCTCTGCAAATTAAAAACAAGTGTGTGTGTGGGTGGGTATTCATGTGGGGACCATTTTTGGCATACACACCTACTTGTGGGGACTAACTGGTACTTATGGGGACCTAAGCCTTGTCCCCATGGGCGTAAATATCAATGGTGGGTCAGGGTTAGGCTGTAGAAATTAATGGAAGTCAGTGCAATGTCCCATAAAAGAAGCAGTAGTAAAACCGTGTGTGTGTGTGTGTGTGTGTGTGTGTGTGTGTGTGTGTGTGTATGTATATATGTGTATATATGTGTATATATA